CGTCAAGTCGCTCGAGGAAGATACACGGAGAGGAAGCGTCGAAGACGCGGAAAAGGAAACGTTGAAATAAAATATGAAGAGCGGAGTGAGCGCTCGAGTAACGAGCTCAGCGTTAATCCAATTTAGATTTCTACTTGTCGGGGAAAAATACTCGGGTTTAATTCTACCTTGAAGGAATATTGATATATTTTTAAAGATATATTCGGAAAACGTTGTTTCCCAGTTGGAGCTTCACGAGTATATTCACACTAATCCTCTTTGGAGTCGCGATTCCCTCTAACACGATAAACATTTTCCAAGAGGAATCTCGACAAGATCCGCATGATCCTCGCGGGTTATATTTTCGGTCGGTGTTATGGATAAACTATCACTGTGTGTGGCTGTGTTACCGTGCGCGACAGCGTTGGAAATAAGTAATGAGGCTTAAGAAAGAGGCACTGTACCTTGTTTATGACACGATATTACCTCGGATACTTAAGAGGGCGCGTGGGTTTTCGCGTGCAAAACTTTCCACGGGGATAGAGAGGAGTCGCCGCGGCCACGAAGACTCGTAAAAAGCGCCGCAAGAACGCGGCCTTATGAGTTTTAAATCGTGAGTTATAACGCGAAGCGCGGGAAGGAGAGAAAGAGAGAAGTCTGCTTAGCTGTTTCCCTGGAAAGGGTCCAAGTCGCATTACTGCAAAACAGTTACGTTGTCTATTCTGGGCGACGCACGCTAGACGATGTTTTATATAATTAGACGAACAAAAGTCACGCAAACACAATATCGCACGCCCTCTTTCGAATGTCCTAAAGCCCGGAACTTTTTATAGAAGCTTTAATAAATTCGCAACAGATTCTCTAAATATAAGGGGTCCTTCATTCGCCATTTCAATTCGAGATAACGCGCGCTACCGGCGCGAGTTCGGTGAGCAGCAAGTTGGAGGACAGTCGGGGGAAGTAATTTTGTCTACCTAATTATGCGAAATCGGCTACCGCGGCGACGTTACCTGAGTTTGCGGTCCGACGATGCACCAGGCAATTTACTTTCACGCCGCGCTGCTAAATCGGAAAAAGTAATTGCGCGCGAGTGGCACGACGAGCAGGGACGGTCCGTTTTTGTGATTCTCCGCGCGTGTTTCAGCGACGAGCAGGCGGCGGCGGCGTCGCTCCCGCTGCGCGGGAGTGCTGCTATGCGGCACTTGAAAAATGCGATACATGTGCTTAAATAAAAATAACGCCGGCCACGTCGGCGGTCGGGGAAATTCGCGCAATGCAATCGCAACGTCGAATCGCTCGTTCTGAATGTCGCGCTTTGAATTCTGAGCGACAAAGGGGAAAAGAGGGAATCTTATCGTGCGCGAGATCAAAGTAGCGAATAGCGGCTGTTGTTTCTCGAATGAAAGTTAATTGCAGACTGTTGATTGAGCATTTGTAGTTCGACTTCATCGGAGACAAGCCGAGGAGATCCGCACGTTTCAAGACATTATATTTAGAATCGCGTTTAGAAACCCCGTGATTCAGTATTTCCAGAAAGATTGAAGCTAAAATTAAGTTACGGGTGATTACTGAAAGAGAGAGAAAGCAAGAAAAAGAGATGACTTTGCGAATGATCGCCGCTTCGAGGGAACGAAAACGACAGAGTTTTAAGATTCGCCAAGGACGAAATTGCGAGCGCGCGCACAAGGGCTGCGAGAAACAAAGATTACAGGTTATTCCCCTAGTTGAAACTCCCTCGTGCCCGCTCCAACCTGACTCCCTTAACTCGTAACTTTCGCCTCGCAGAGTATCACAAAGGCTTCGCATAGCACCGCTGCAACACCTGCGCGAACATGGCAGTCGACATTAAGGAAATAGATTCTCCACTACGTACAGGCCGTCTCTCTATAATCTTCATTCAAGTCAATTAAGATTTTCAGAAAGAAGTGGAGAGAAAGAGAGGGAAAGAATTAGCTAAAGCTTCGGTTAACTTTAATTAATGGCTTGATAAGAGAGAATGACGTTATACGGCGTGCCTGTCCGTGTAAAGTCGGCTGCCAGATTTCGCAGGTGCGACAAACTGAGTATCCGACAGTCGAAAGTCGGAAAGTCGCGTATCATGGCCAAATGTACGATTATCGTTTAAGCGAGACGTGCGACCGACGACGAACTACTAAACATTCAGAGTTCTCTCGCGCGCACGTAAGGAAACCGGAAAAGAGCGGCACAGAGAAAATCGACACAGCGGGAGATAATAACGCAATTAACAATCTGGCAAAACATTGGTGCGCGGGATTTAATAGTCGCGCTTGCGTACGCCGGTTGATTACGACGTCACGGCAACGTCACGGCGACGACACAGCGTTAAAAGCTTTACTCGGCGAGAGAGGAAGAGATTATATCGGCATGAGTATCGCTCTAAGAACACGAAGACGTACCGCACCGGTCGCGCTCCAGCTCCTAATACCCACGAACTGTGCGATTCTTGCGAAATGTTTTTGTTACGATTACGGCACGTAACGTTGCCACATTATCGCGAGTTAATTGCTCAAGCTCGCAGCACTACACCGCGATTCTCACGATAGCTCGGGCTGAACGTACTTCGTGGCAAAGAGGAGCTGACCGCGGTTCGTTTTCGAAGTCTGGTTGTCCCTGAGTCGACTCGCTTCTTGAATATATTCAGTATTGTCAATATTTTTCTACAGTTGTGTTCGATAATTTTATCAGAAAGTTCGAGTAAACATTGTCCCGTAAGAACCAAAGTTCGAGGACATTCGCGAAACTTCAGCGTCAAAAATATGTAAACAAATGAATTGCAAATTGATTCCCGTTCGATCATTCCGCTTTACTGACCGCTCAAATCGCCAGTTTGTTTTTCACGCGAATAGATCTTCGATCCTTCACTCGTGACGCGAGTATCATCACTGTTCGCCCCAGCGCGCGCGCTCTCCGTCCGTCATAACATCACTGTTAATCCACAGAGAAATTTCTCTCGCACGAGCTCCACAAGTCGTAAAGACTTCCTTAATGTCGGCTGGCAAAACACGTGAACGTGCTCGTTTAATGAGTCGGCGGAAGGAATGCGCGAGCGCTCAGCTGATCGAGGAAAAAACATCCGCGTCGGAATGCACGCTCATTCGTGCGGCCGCGGGGAATTCAGATCGATACGCGTATAGCGCGCGCGCGGTCTATTTTGGTGCGGGCTAATCTCCATCGCGGACTGATCGATTCGAATTAGCCGGAGTAACGGAGATCCAGAGAAAGTACGTGGGTACGTCAAGTATCCCGTAAAGTCGTTATTTATCACGAGAGAGTCGCTTTATATCCCGGAAAAACGACGCGGTAGTTTTGCGCGCAGGGTGTGTATGTATCGGTAAGAATTAGCGCGCGTTAAATAAATGAAACATGGAGTTCACCGACCAAGTAAGACCCGGAAATTCTCTCAATTCAATCGAGGAGGACTTATATCGCGTAAAGTATGTGCGCGAGAGAGAGTACCACAAAAAAAGTTAATAAAATAAAATCGCGCAATCTTGCTGCTGCTCGAAAAACTGATATTTTAATGTTATTGCGTACGGCGCATGTCGAAGAGTTTTATCCGACGCAAGTGCTCTATCAATCTATGTTTTATATTCTTAATGTGCTGACAAAAGAGATAGATAATGAGAGCCGCGCGATAAGGCAATCACCGCGGCGTCACTGAGCGTAACGAGACATGAAGATGCGACACGCGTTTCATTGAGAGGCGCTCCATAGACCTCAGGTGCATAGCGGGATTCATTCGCGTGCGATTCATTAAGCGCAAATAAGCGTGCTTTGACAATCGCGACGTATCGTAAAATTTATCACTATGTACTTCTCCACGTACGCGCCTGAACATCGCGCCTTCTCGAGTCGATCAAGGTTACATCAGTGAGACCTCCTTCTTCATGCGTGTCTCTTTTTTGCTGAGCGTTGTGAAAATAAACGGTAGCAAGTAGGTCGTTTTATGCATAATCTTATGACAACATCCTTCGTGATACGCGTTCTGAGGGCATATTATGGCGTACGCTGACTTTTACGCGGCACGAACGTTTCCTTATCGCGGTGGATCGCCGGTCCGGGGATATTCTCGATCGAGCCGTATTGTGGAAGAAAAACGCGCATACAAATGCATATTGCGACTTTTGACCGTACGCCAATTGTTGTATCAGAATACGCGATAGGAGGAGATACATACATAAAGGACACCTTACAAAGCGGAGGCTCGCTTGGAACGCGATTGAGAAAAACCCGTAATGCATAATGCAAAAATTAAAATTCGGCATATTCGCATAATACACGTAAATTCAATGCCAGCAGCACGCCGATATTATTGCCGTTCGCGTGTCTCCGTTTTACGCCTATCTCACGGCCTACACGAAAGAAATATACGCGAATTTTCTTTTTCCTGTGCTCTCAATGCATAAATACATGAATATAAGATGCATAAGTAAAATCTGTGATTTCGTGAAATCGCCAAGCGTCTTCAACAATTTAACGTTTATCCAAAAGAAGTTCGATGCATTTCCGCAGCTCGCGGAAATCAGGTCTTAATTCAGGTTTCGCGTTCCAGTTTCGCGCGTTTGACACGCGAAAAATACATTTCAAATCAAATGCACACTGTGCGTTTAATATTCACACAATATATGTTTCGTGTCGGAAGCAAAAGAAGCTCGGACTGTTCCGAGGCGAGATCTCGAGAGAAACAAATGAAAGGAGCAAACGTTACATCAACGCGATCACGCGTGGCACGTCTGGCGAGCCTGCTATTCACCAGCTGGCGAATTTTTACGACATACGGCGAGGTCTCGCGCGCGTCGGACGGAGTGACAGTGATGCTACCCTGAAACCTGATACATTCCCGCGTACATACTGTTAACCGCTGACAATCTCGCGGCATCCGGAAGAAGAATCACGACGCGATCGCGCTCGCGAGCGAGTACCGTCCTCCGTTTCGTGCTGCTCTCGAGATCATCGCGAGAATCAAACGCATCCGACTACGAGAGATAACTACCACTAACCTTGATCACTAACCTTGATCGTCGGTCCAGTTTCGAACACTCGCCCCCGCGTCGTGGGCCTCCACCTTGCGCCTCTCACCTGCCAGCGGGCGTAGACTCGACGGTGACGACGACGACGGCGGTGACGACGACGATGACGACGATGAAGATGTCGAGGTCAACGACGGTGCCGATGACGACGACGATCACGAGCGCGACACTACGAGGAAAGCGATCGCGTTCTTTCCTCCCGCGAACTCGCACACGAGGGCGATCTGTCTCTCGTAGCGCGAAAATCCGGATCTTCCTCGAGCCCCCCCGCCCCTCTCAGCCGCCCGCAGCACTACACTCTCTCTCGGTCTCTGTTCCTCTCCTGTTCTCTCTTCCTCTATCTTTTTCTCTTTCGCTTCCCCTCTCTGTCTGTCTCTCTTTCTCTCTGTCTGTCCTTCTCCCTATCACCGTACAACACACGGAAAATGGCAGCTCCACTGCACTTGGCCAATGCTTGCCAACCCGCGCACTGACACGAACTACTGATAGGGCCCCCGTGGAAATAACGGAGCACGAGTGTCCTTGCGCGGCCGCGACGCGCTCGTAACTCACTTCCGGCGATCGGACGGGTCGCGAGGAGCGGCCGTGCGCCACCGAGGGCCCAGTCCACGACAAATTCGGGGGGGAAGGCGCTCGGCGATGTAACGAGCAGTTGTTTATGACGCGACACCGCGTACGGTATGCCGTGGCTGCACACGCTCGTTGGTATCCCTGCGTGTGGTCGACCGCCGCCGCGAACAATCGTCAACTCCGCCGCGAGACGGCGGCAGCAAGTAAGCAGCAAGTTTGTACGCGCGATACGCCGTCGACAGGTCAGCTCGCTTTGTACCGACTGTTACCGCGGCGGGATTCGCAGCTGATTCGGTTTCTCATCGATCGAGCCGCACTCCCGCCATCTGTGGGCCACGAGCGCACTTAACTACCCGTATCTCAATATAGTCAATTCGAACGTGTATTCAATCTTTTCCGTTGAGAGGATTGTCAGCTTTTTAATACAATTTTGAGATCGATATCCAAAAGAGAGGAGGGGCGCGTAGGCGAGCTCGAAGTGAAATTTACGCGACACTCCTGGCGACTCCACGAGATACTTATCGTCCGTGTCTATTTCACGATATTCTACTCACAATACGAGATTCATTTTCGGTATTCACGATGATTCGCACACGATGCTTTTATCCAGCAAGCACAGTCTAACGATTTCAATCTCCCACAGTCATTTCACAACGATCGCGGTTACCTCGCTCGACATCCCCGATGTTCTATTTCAGATATGTCCACTTTCAGGATTCACTGTGTTCTCCGGCACACACACGCGCAACAATCATTTTTGGCAGTCTCAGTAACGAAAATTTGCACTTTGGTTAGGCGAAATCACAAAAGACGTAGAGCAGCTTACCAAGCACTGCTGCGCCGTTCGCCGTTCCACGACTGACTGAACATCGTAACGCTTGAGATATCATCTTGAGATACGGGCGACACTCATTCGCCGTACTCGCGGGCTGTCTCTTTTTGGCGGCTATTCGGCGGTATTTTATCGCACGAACACGCTTACTTTCCTTACAGCTCGCGCACAAAGTTCCTTCGGTGAATCGTCAGCGCGACGGTTTGACGACTCGAACCGGCCATTGAACGACGGACGCGCGTTACTTATCTCGGCACTCCCGCTGGCCAGTGTCGCGAGATACACGCACTTCCAACGTTGTTTTTCTACGACGAACGCGCGAACACTTACTTGCGGCACTCCCGATCACGATTCGCGCACGAGACTCACCCTTGAGCGAGCTAAAATTGCGAGAATACGAAACGGCTTACGAGATTGCGCCGCGTTCCACTCCGTAGCAAATCATCTCAACGATTGAGATACGCGATGCGGTGTTTACGTGTGAACACGCTATGGCGCTTTCAAACTATTCAGTCTGAAGTCGCAGCGGGCAGCCGCTTGCGTTTTTCGTTAAAAATCAGTGCGATTTACGGAGAGTATGCATTACTTAAATAATCTAATAAAGATCAATGAAGAGAATAAAGAAATAATTATTTGCTTATAATCTGTATGTTTTTTTCTGACGCTGGAAAAGAAAAAGCTGAAAGAATAGAAAAAAATTGTGTGATGTAGCATCATCAATCAAGATTTCAATTTAGATTCGCATTTGCATGTGTAAACATCTAAAATATAGGTCGATCACGTTATATATGATATGTAAACAAAAAAGGCGTTAAACTCCATAATCGTGACGTGTAAACAAGCGAAAAGCTCGGTTTGTGTATGTCCGACTTACTTTTCACGAATAACACGTGCTACCGTTATATTGAATTGCTTTGTCGGTAAATTACTTGTTGATATTTATCTTAGCAATATTGTGACAAATTTAATCTCACGAGATATCCGTGAAACGCGCAATTATCACATGAATTTATGTATGTACGAACATATGAAAAAATGACGAAGTAAATGACTGCGACAATTACGAGATCTGAATTAACATAAATTAAACAATTGCGAAATTCGCGCGTAGTAGTGCAATTTTAATGTGCATAATACATAACAACAACAATCAGGGAATCATAGCAGATGAACAGTTACATCAAATAATTTTATACTTTGAAATAAGTGCGAAAATAAATAGATGTGTGTAAAGTAACACACACATATGTAAATAAATACGTTCATTATTATATCAAGCTATTCATTATCACATTCATATATATATTTCATATGTATATTTCATTATCACATTCATATATATATTTTATTATTACGTTATATTACTCATATTAAAGATTAAGCAAGTTATTTTTGTAAGAAAAATATATTTATTGTTCTTGAAATATTTATCAGATAACACAAGCGTTTCAAGAAATTATTCCCTAATTGTTTTAAGCCATATTTTTTACAAAAATCTATAAGGAACGTAAATCGCACTGATCTTAATGTTTGATCATTGTTTACCACTTTAAATTTCCTCGTAATCAGTTTTCTCACTTACCTCAGCATACTGCGAGGGGTGGCCACGTTCTGCTTCCAATTCTGTAACAGAAAGATAACATTTTGCTGATTAAATTAAAATATTTGACTCAATAAAAGTATATATATATATATATATATATATATATATATATATATATATAGCCTCTCATTCGTTGATATTTGTTGGGTAGTTTTTAACAGGTGATTATATATACATCTCACAATAAAATAATCACAGTTGAATAATCACAAAAGATTAAACTGAGAAGTACAAAGAATTTATAAATTTACCTTCGAGCCAACCCCACTTTGCCCGAACCAGATCCTCTGGTAACATGCTTGCATCCTCTGGAATAACAGCTTTCTATACGTTAGATCTGAAAACATTTTGTCTAATTAATTACAGCGAAGGAGAAGTTCAAATTAGTACAAGTGAAAATAAAATGTATTTAGCACGAGAAAACAAGATTCGACCGTATATTTCTCTTTTAAATTTAGCAAAAATAAAATAAAATATAAAATAAAATATAAAATAAAATATAAAATAAAATATAAAATAAAATAAAAATAAAAATAAAATAAAAATAAAATATAGTAGTCTGTTAATTTCAAGTTAGATTAGATCAGATTTCATTGTTTGACTTAGCAAACAAGGGCGTAAATAATTTTATAGTGGCTTGCGCGATCATCACTGAATGAATTTTGCCGGACAATTTTAGCACGTAATTACACTTCAACTTGTCGATCACAAAATATTAAACTGAGGAGCACAAAGTATTTATGAATTTACCTTCGAATCGAGCTCTCACTCAGCATGAAAAAATCAAGTCTTCCAATGTCGTGTTTACATACTTTGGTACAGCAGCTTTTTCGCGTCGGATCGGAGACAGAGAACAATGTTTTCCGATTAATTACAGTGACGGAGAGTCGCCTGAATTCGTAAAAGTAAGAATAAGATGTATATGTATGAAATAAACGAGGCTCAATAGTGTATTTCTCTTAAAACACTATGAAAACAAGATGCAGTAATTATCCGTCAATTTCATACTTCGCGCATAGGGCGCTCTTAACCCACAATGATCGTGGCACTACGTGCTCGAGAAGTGCCACTGTCACTGTCACCAACGTTTTAAGACATTTTAGAAAAACCGAAAATAATGCGCGACGTCGCGCGATGTTATCGCGCTCGCGTGCGAAGTAGATCTGAGCGCTGGCGCGTCGCCTAGGTAACGCGCTGTTGTTTAGAGGTCGCGCGCCCTTCAGCGTACGTGAGCCGCGCCGAGCCGCGCGGCACGTACGCTGCGGCGCTCTGGAAGCTTCGCTACGCGGCGTATAATATTATTTGATATACGCCCTGCGTTATAATCATATATGTAATGCTACTATATTACTAAATGAGAGAGAAGTCCGGCCCCAGAACCACGGTGCGGGAATATATATTTCTCTCTCTTTCTGAGTGTATTATGAACGTTATGCGCATGCATCAGATAGATCGTATCCGCCAATGGGAAAATAAAATATGTTATACAAAGTTACATATAATAGGTTATATATACCATATGCTATAAACGTGAGCACTCGAAAATGCTATTTATGCGAAAAAAAGCAGCTGCAAATGAAAATATTAGTTTACACAAATAAGGAAGCAGCTATCCAGGTTAGGTACATGTCATGCATTGGCATTTTTACTTTATATATATAACATCATTTGATCGCCGTGCCTGTGGCACTACGGTCAAAATATACTCCTCGGACATCGTCTGTCCTTCCATTCTGGGACAAGCTCTTTTTATAGGCAACATAGGGCGATTAACAATATAGTAGTATTACATATATGGTTATAATACTCTGCGTTATATTCACAGATGTTTATACTAAACTTGCTAATAAGAGCTTCGAACGTGTGTCGCGTAAGGTTTCCGGTTGCATGCGAGAAAATGGCGGCGGTCCTGTGTGTGTGACGTGTCACTTGTGTGAGTACTTACAACGTACAATGTGAGTCAACGTGGCCATTAAATTACTATCGTAAAACCAAAAATGCCATCTTATTGCATCAAAAAATGTCGTAACAAAAAAATAGATGGTATTGGACGTTATTTGCTTTGCTCATCTTCAACAACAGAATTTTATGACTAAACGTAGTGAAAATATATGGCAGCAGCAGCCATTTTCTCGCATGCACCGGAAACTTTATCGGACACAAACCGTTACATGTTTTTAAATAGCCTGTTAGCAATCTAGTTTAGTATAGACATCTGTGGTTATATCTCACTACATTATGACATTCCATTATATATGCGTTCTCTCCAGTCCACTACACTCCTACATTTACTTTACAACTACTGATTATCGAGATTTGGAAATTATCGAATATTAATATTATAAACGGATGAATAAAACGATACGAGAGCCTATACATTTACCTAGCGATTCTGCTCAGCCTCAAAAAATCCTACGAAACTGCATCTATACTGCTTATCGTGTGACCGCATAAATAAAAATATTACGACGACTATATGTCTCTCGAAGTACGGAATTGTGTCTTTTAAAGTTTTCCCTTTACTCTGCTCGTTAACTTTATTTGAAAACAGATTACTTGACTCGTCTCTCATTGGCTTTTCGTAGTATTTAAAAAAATAAAATATCTTGTTGTAGAGTTGTATTAAAAATAATGTTACTTGAAAATAAAGCTGATCCGTCGTTGAATCGTATTATAACCTTCTTCGTAACTAGAAGTGGCGACTCGTAGCAGAAACACTGGTACTACGGCCTGCAAAATAATTACCTTGTTGGTAAATTAAAAATTTGTGTTTTATTATAAATGTATACAAGAAAAGCTATATGTGTGTGTGTGTTTGTGTAAAGAAGGAAGACTATTTGACTAAAATAGTATACAACAATTAAACTTTAGTTGAACATTAAATCTGATGTAGATAAAGTAGGAAACGAAGCAAAGAATAAACGTGTTAACACTTGCTGCTAATAAGCGACGAAAGTTTAATTAAATCACAGCTAAAATTATGACTAAAATTAAAACTACATGAGAACGACACGAATCTCGGGCAAATAAAGTTCACATTTCGACTCGTTACTCGATTAGACTCAATACATAGTTAGACCGTTACGCGGTTAGAACCGTTACGTGCCAGTTAGTTCCTGAAAGAGACCGTTACGAGGCGCCACATACTCTACAAAAGATCGAGGTGAAGTGCGATTCGAATTTGGTCCTTTTCGCGCCCGGACAGCTAGCTAAAAAGACGTTCGTCTTTAATTACTAATGAGAAATGATTGTTCTTTTTACCTGACAATATATTGTACCATGAGAAATGAAAAATCGAATGGAACAGATACCGCGACGCAATTCAAACGAGGTATGTAATATTTATTGGCGTTATATCTCAGTATAAAATTTAGAAACGCAATTCAATCGAAGCAACTATAGTAAAGGTTAAATACGATTATGAAAATGAATACATTGGCGTCATTCGATAATCATGATCGTTGAAATAATAAGAAAGCAACAATAGTTAAAGATGAATAGGAAAATGCATCAAAGTATCGAATTAATGTTCATATTTTATCGTGCGAAGCGACGTTGAATTCGTCTCGCGTTACGAACGATAATGGCCACTCGGCTGACAAAATAGAGCACGCAGGGTATGTTTGTCAATGCTGTTTAGGTATCGAAACGTAATCGAACCGGAGAACCCCAGGGTCTCACAGACATAACATCTTGCGTCGCGAGTCCTTCGTTAAAGCTCTACCTTTTCGTCTCGGTTTTCTCGTACTCTTTGCTTTTGTTACTCTACAAAAATTCGATACTTTCGAATCTGCGTCTCTGCGAAAATGACGTACACTACGTAGTTATATGCGTTAATTTAAAAAAAAGGAGCACGCTATTTGCGGATAGTATAAACATCGTCCGCAGTAAAACGATAAAATCTAAAGTATGAAATTGATGAAAATTCTCGCAGAAGATCCGCGTCGCGTTACCTCCTCTTCCGCTATCGATGATTTTACCGACGGGTCGTTCCAAACGGCTTTAAGTCAACATTCTGGAATAGTCTTCACACACCCGTCCAGCTATAATAAATCCGTTTATCGTTTCATCTGCGCGGACGTGGCATTACGTGGCTGGAAGATACGAAGGCGAGCGACGGGGGTTGATGAGGGCGGTAGGTGGGGGTTGACTTCGTGTTGAACCTTCGTGGCGACCTGCTGGTCGCGGCGATGGTCATTTGTGGGAGCTGAGCCGACTTCTTGGCGAGGGGAAGAGCGAGAAGGGACGAAATGTCTCTTGCGATCCCACGACGAGATACCGGACACGCTATAGCCCCTCTTGACCCCCGAGTGATGTCCACCGCGACACGCCATCCCCGCTGCCGCCGGAGACGTCGAGATTGTCTTCGAGGGTGCCGGGGGAGAGCCAAAGAGTGTACACAAAAGAACGTATATGCGCGGGTGGTACTCGGGGTACTTTTACCATGGCCGCGGAAAGAATTGCCTTGACACGCAAGAACCGGCTGTCCCTCACGAAGAGGAATACTGGCGAGCCGCGCTCGTAAATAACGTCGCGTTTAACATCGTTATTTATGGCATCGGGCGCGCGATTTGCAAAACAAACGGACTGACAAATTAACGTTTCACGTAGAGCGAGCTGACTGAACGCGAATCGCGATGTTAACGTGAATCGTTATTAGCTGGTCTTAATTAGTTCGTCGACGGAAACCGTCATGTATCTTGAGATCTCGGACGTTTCAAGGATAACGCGAGACGCGACGTTCGTAGGACGCTTAAATTTTGAAGGCCGCGCCGTTCAACTTTTTCGTGAAACGCGACTAATCTGCTCGCCAGAGGATACTTTTGCGCGGGGATAGACGACTCCTCGAGGGAGGAGTAAACGCGTAGCCACAGGGGCTATTTTCCACCCCCGATGGTTATGCCCTGACGCGTCATAACGTCTTGTCGAAGGATCACGCAGGTGTATGCGGTGCGCGTGAGACTGTACGCGCGACGGACACGCGACTTCTTCCTGTCTCACATCGTGTATCTACCTTATGCTTCGCTTCCGTCTTTCATCCTACCCCCTACCCACCTATCTACCTACCTTACTCTACTCTACCCTATCCTGAGGTCTAGTTAATACGTCCGTTTTTCATCGTCTTCGCGCGAAACGGAGAGCTGCACCCTGTCACGGCTTTCGGAATTATAACGCATGAAATTTTACCTAATAACGAAAATTATAATAATATAACTAGACGATAATAAATAATGGCGATAGTAAATATTCGAAATTTTCCAGTGATATACAAACGTCTGATTGATTTTTAGCACTAAGATATTCATCGCGATCTGAAAAATAAATTAGTTATTCAAGAGATTCACGAAGAGAATCATGAAGAGAGAGAGTCTCCACGTCTCTCAGACCACACTTTCCGATCACGGGTTACCAACGACCTTCTGTGTATAAGATTCTTTTTGTTACTTCGTTTTCTACGACATTATTATTTTCTCTAAATATGTTTCACTATTAATAACGTTGAATAATTAATTTGTTTTTTAGATCGGGATGAATATCTTAGTGTTAAAAATCAATTTAATTATTCAAACATTATTTATTATACATTTACATTATATTATCGCCATTATTTATTATCGCCTAATTGTATTATTATAATTTTCGTTATTAGGTAACGTTCATAATGGAATACTCTATGTATTCCATTCAGGAATTTTTTCTGTTAATTGTTATTAAAGAATTAGAATTAAGAATTTTTCGTTTATATTTACCACAAAATATGAATGTTATTTCGTTACCTAGTAACGAAAATTATAATAATACAACTAGGCGATTATACTTCACGTATTCCATTCAGGAATTTTTTCTGTTAATTGTTATTAAATTTTGATCCTCTCATCACAGAATCATTAGAGATTATAAGATTTGAGAAATTATAAATATACATCAAAAAAGAAAAAACAAAATTCACTAAATTCTATCTTTCCCATGATGGGTTAAATATTACATTTTTATAACTGCATTCTAAAATATATATGTGCTGACAGTATTGAGAATCCATAGTATACGCAATGTGAACTATAAATTTTCAATACTGTCAGCACACTTTGGAATGTAGTCTGTGTATTCTCGCAAGATTATTTATTATAACTCTTTTTCTCTTTTGTTCTAGAAACTCGAGTAAGAACGACAGTTATCTCCGTAGCTGTCCCAGAGAGCAGATCGATTTTTGTTCCCGCTTTAATTAAAATATGGAAGTATTGCGTTCGTGATTGTGTTTCATCCCGGGCGCCTGCCAGGAATCTGGAGGAGAGACTCCATCAGCGAACTTCAGCTCTTAGTGAGTCCGTGTATATTTTCTTCACCAAGTCTCTCACTTCACTTTCGGGTTTCGTCAACAATGTATCGGAAATAGAATTAATAGTATTTCGTTCAGGTACATCGTGACCGTCGTATATCGTTCGTGTAAGGAGCAGGAAGACCGTATACCGCTCGTTCGTAAGCTGTATGATAAGCCGCGCACATACCTGCCGTGAGTACCCGCGTGGTACTCACGCGGGTATCGTGTGGGGTACACTCCCGGTATCAACACCGTGAGACACGGCAACGCAGCTCCTGGACATGCCACCGAGATCACCGCCCCGATATCGCCCGCTTGTATTTATGGCCGCCGAGATTTCGCATTATTAGAGCCATTTACCGTTTTCGCCCCTATAATATCGCGGCGTATGCCCGCGCCGAGATTGCCGAGAGGCACCTCGAATCGTGAATCGTGAATTTAAGGGTCGATATAGAAGGCCGAAGGTAATTTCGGAAGACTTAGAACTTATCAGATATAAGTTACGTCTTAAGCCAAGTACCCTCGACCACGACAGAGTCAAAGTACAAGGAGATACGTTATTTTACATGTAGTAAAATATTACTACATGTACGTTATTTTTCATGTAGTAAAATATTATGCAATCTATTCGAGCAATAATAGCGTTTCATTGCTTAGAGTACACTCGGGCACTAATCGAGCAGATACAATTTCGTAGATCGCGTGAGTTTTATAAACGACACAACAATCACATATTCGAACATCGGTGTATTTAGACGAATTCGTACGCAGAAAAATAATTTGCTGGCCCAACAAATTTTCTGCTGGTCTAACAAAATCTTTTCGTTATTATATGAACAGCAAAAAAATTTGCTAAGAGTACTAATCACTATTTACTGGATATAATTTGCTGAATCTACACATTATTTTGCTATAAGAATTATGATAGATTTATATAAGCAGTTGCAGTTTTGTTCCGATAGCCAATAAATTTGCTAAGGATACATTATTTTGCATCAATAGCAAATTAACGTGATTCTTAGGACAAATACACTAAATAAATTTTTTTTATTCTAGCAACAAAACTACTTCTGCTCTAATAGCAAATAATTTGTAAAATTAGTTACGTCAACTAAATTTTTTTGATGTCACTACAAATATACAGTAGCAACGACGATTTTGCTAAAAGAACAAAATTATTTTTCTCCGTGCGATGTTTCATGTTTTTAAAAATACTGTAAAGAATAATCGTTGAATATCACACAAAGAATTACACTAAAACTTATAATAAACTTTATAATATATCTCTCATATTACACAGATTTAAAGAGAACGAAATGAAATGCGTGGATTCTCTCAAATCCAACTTTTCTGATGATGGGAAGTATGACAAACATCTTGAAAAGGAAAAAAAAAAAAATGTCTTTACTTAACTCATCATTGGAAAAGTAAAATTTGATGAATTTCTTTCCTTTTGGATTTTTTTTATTGTATTTTTTATTTTTTATAATTTCTCAAACTTTATAATCTCTCATGATTCTGTAATGAGAGCATTGAAATTTAAGTATCGATCGGCTCTAGACCTGATAGTAATTTAACGATTCGGGATTGCGTCTTTCTTTTTTGTGTCGTTTTCTGTGTTTACCGTACGACAAATAAAATTACGAGTTGAGGACGATACCAGTCGATGACATACTGTTATTACGTACAATTATCTCCGACATCAATTACGAGTTCGGTAAGTTTATCAGGGCGTTGTCACACGTGCCGTAGAGGAGGCTTACACGTAAAGGGGGTCATCCGTGCTCATTCGAAACGATGACACTTATTCAAACACATTACCAAGCGACGACCTTGCGCGCTACGCACGACCGTGACGATAAAATAAGAAGCCAAATAAGGGTGATATCCTTGTTACGAGGAACTGCGCTATTACGTGTCTTTCCGTCGAGCAAATGTTCAGCCTTCGGCACAAGAATTATCGAACGTGTTTGGAACGCCGTACAATCTCCTGTCGTTCGGATTAAAGCGTATGTCGCGAGAAGAGCGTCCCGTAATAATCGTGCTCGCGATGCTTTTTGTTGTATCCGATGTATTATTGTTGGACTGTGTGCGTGCAGCGTCATCGAGCAAATTTTTCGGCGAAATAATCCTTAACGAAGCCCTTAAATAACGAATCCACAGTTCGACTCGACAGTCGTAACGATAGGACGCTCGAGATACTGACAGGAGAGTCCGAGAAACCATCCATTTCTGCATTAAACCGCGTTATCGCCGGCGTTAACATTCGTCTTCCAGGATGCATTGTCCTGCGATCCAGCTGGGGCAAGGTCCTCATCCGTCTCCCATTCAGGGTCGTGGGTCTCGACATTTCCGAATCTCCGAGGCGGTCCATTGTGCTCGGCCCTCGCGCGCGTTGCTCTCTCCAGCCCTTTTCCTCTCCTCTCGTCCCCTCTTGCGCTGCCCTCTATTCCCTTGCCCCTTTCCCCTTCTCACTCCCCCCCCCCATTCGTCCCTCGCCTCTTCTGCTGTCTCGCTTTAACTCGCCCCGAGTCTTTATGCCGCTGCTCCGTCGTCTCCTCGGTCGTCCTCTCTTTCCATGCTCGGAGTCCTCTCGTCCAGAGGTAATACGGTGCCTCGAGGAGCACCGAAGGGGTGGATCGAGGGGTAGAGGCGGGGGGAGGGGGTGCGCTCAGTAGATGGGGTTTTTAGGGGTGGCGACATGGAATCCGGGAATTCGTGTCTCGCGGGGTAGTCTCGGTAGGAGCTCTATCGATTCTCAACCAGACACACCATCCTCCGGAGCGTGTCTCGCGCGATATCCCCAGCCTGTAACTCGTCCACGTAAAAGTTTCGTTACTCCAACTAATAACGTACGAGGATAGTCTCGGGACTATCGGCGTATAATGGCGCGACGCTGAGACTGTAGACTTCGACTTATAAAATATGAAACTTGGCAAGTAACAGAGGAGAGCAGTTTCTACTTTGACTTTAGAATTATGCTCTGAAACGGTCGCGATAAAAACTTACGGTGTGCGGTGGTAATTAGACATGGTCGCATTACCGCGAATATTAGTAAACTATTTAACACCATGCAGGTGAAGCAGCGGATAAAAGTACCGTTGTAGAAAAAGTTCCACAGCAATATCCGGCATTAAAAAGCTGCGTATCAAATAATCTACGGTCGAATTCAGGAAGGGACGGAAAGGGTGATGAAAGGGGTAAGGTAGACGTAAAATAAAACTACCGGTGGTGCCGCGAAGGAGAAGTGAGAGTAACCGATAACCAATAAATTTCTCTCTAGTACATGAGGCACTCAAATACCGCAAACTTAATACGGATCCACGAATCGGCCATTCGTTATTTTTAATCAGTTGACTTTTCGTTGAAAAAAAATATACATATATATCAACGATAATCAGATTTATATATTAGCAATGAGAGAACCGCGCCGTGATTTTTGCCGGAATTTTTACTGTTTTGAATATGTATCGCGCGAACAATTGTTTCGATAAAAGAGAAATTTTTGTATAGCTTTGGTTGCAATGTAAAATATGCATATTGCTAATAATTTAGAATATATCGTCGTGCATATTTCGGAACTCTCGCGGTCCTACTTCTTACCACCGTCATTTTTGAACATCCACCTTTAAGCGTCTTCTCATAGCGAGAGGACGTCGATTGGGGATTGTAGAAGCAGATTGTGGTAAACGACGACGTGAGTATCGAGAGAAGGGAAGAAAGGTGCGGGGAGGACCGCAATATCACAGCGATAAATCCATCGGGAGTTGATCAGCCGACACTCTGCAACCAGTGCACGTATTCCTGGCATATCCACTCGGCGTGACCAGGAAGGGACCGCCATCTTGAGGGTTTCCTCGCTCCACCTGCGGGGGTGATTCTTTATTGTTTCAATAAGCACGGCACAGGTCCAGTCTTATTAGCGAAATAAACCTCTTTTAACGGCGCTGCCGCGCCCCACTTCTCACTCCTCCTCTTCTTCTTCTTGGTCTTCTCTTTCTTCTTCTTCTTCCTGCTCTTGTTGTTTTTCTTTTCCCATTCGCTTCTTCTCGCTCCCTTCCGCTCTCGCGAAAGACGCGCGGGAGTCAAACACGACGGTGGGAGAGGGAAAAGCTTCTCCTCGGCGAAGACGAGAGAGATTCGGCGAGGATAAGAGAGGAGCGGAAAGGGACCGTGGGATTCTTGAAAGAGTTCTCTTTCAGAGGAGTCCAAAGAGAGAATCGATAGGTTTTTCCGCGGGTTTCCATGGAGACCGCGAGGCGAATCGGACTGTACACGCGATAAGCGACGAAGACGTGGAAAGAGCATCGCCGCAGTGGCGTAAGCGCCATCCCCTTTTTCGTTTCCCGCTGCCTTTTCCTGTCGGCAAGATTACATAAGTTCCCTCTCGCGCCGCGCGCGCACAATGAGACCGTTTCGCTTCACAAACGTAATGCCACCAATGGACGAATAAACGTAACTCACCAGGAATACCATCAACGCCGTTTTCTGCGGAGCCATTTTTCGGGTCAAGTGTATTCCTTCCTCGGTGCCATCACGAATGAGATCTGTTTAATCCAAGTCGTCGGTGCAACCAGCTCTCATGTGCGATACACTTTTATGAAAACGAAATAGTATTTCATAAAAGAAGATACCTAAAAAATAATGTAATATTGAAACTGCCCATTATTCACAATTAGCGCGGGTTAACAGCTACTGTTGAAAAACAAATTCTAGCAATTATTATAAAAACTTTTAAGAAAATTAAACAGAAGAAAACAAACGGTTTTCCACTTATATCAATTCTCTTTTCTCGTTTTGCAATCTTTTCTCTTTGATTTTTTTCCCTCGTAATGGAGTACGCGAATCCTTCGCGTTGAACGCAACCGGCTCTTTTAACTACCCTTGCCGGACGCGATCGCCATCAGTGCCAGAGTACGATCGTGTGCGAGACATCGTCAAGTCGGCCATTCCGCGCTGAGATCGTTTCTCATCTTTTACGAGGTTCGACAGCGTCGCTTGGTCGCCGCCGCCGCCTTCGTCGTCGTCGTCGTTGTCGTTGTCGTCGTCGTCGTCGCCGCGTGTCGTTTCGGCTCTGCGAGAAACAATTGAATGTCGCCGGGTTTATTTTCGGAAGCCTTAATTTAATTTTCGTCCCGCTCAGTGAGCATGAGAAAGAGATGGAGAAAGAGAAAGCGAGAGAGAATAAAGGGAAGGAGAGCGAAGGAGTGAGGAAACGAGAGGCTGCTGTTAAGAGACGATCTTTTGTTTCCTATCGTATCCGTGTTCGTAATGAATGTTTAATTTCTTGTTTTTCTATTATTGATCAGTTGATCGTTGTGTACACAAAGGAATAATTAGTGCTTTCAAATAGTCAAATATATATTTTATTTTTAATTATAAATTTTTTTTTCATTTAACGCGTCTATGTCATATATATTATATGACATAAATCGCAATTGTTTCAGAGAGTTTGGGACTTGAGAATTGATTCTATAAATTATTTGTCCACAGAGCATTTACATTGAAAATTGTGGGTGGTCGCTCGTGAGCGCCTTTCACGTGTGTCTCTCTCATAAATTCTCAGAAATATCACTTCGAGTACCACCCACAGCAAGTCGTACGTATTCTCGACAGGTCACAGCATCCGATGGCTTCGTTTCTTTCGTCGACGAAACTCGTGGTGCTCTTTAACGAAAGGGAATGAGTTTTTTTTTATCAAAGTACAATAGTGTTCCACGCAATTTAAACGTAACGTGAAACGTAACGTTTTTCCAGATTTCAAAAGAAACGAAATTAAAGCAAAAAGCAATAAAGCTCAATTATATCTCGAATTTTGAAAATATTAATTTTGATCTCTCTCTCTCTCTCTCAAAATCATCGAAAATACGATGTGGTATTAATAATCTTGCATGTAATTTTTCAGTTTTATGTAACAAACAGTGCTTTCGGACTTGTTAATTAAACAATAATATTGGTAAAAATATAGATAAAAATATACCCTTTCATTCCATATTCTTCTACCTTCAACCGCATTTTCTACTTTTCGACGTGCCGCAAAACATCCGCATAAAGTCCGTCGTTCCTCACCCCATCCGTTACCCGTCCCTCCACAACATCCTTAACGACTCGGCCTGGATGCTGAACCTGAGATCAAACGGCTGCGGGCAAAAGACGAAATTCGTCACGAGCGGAGTGTCGGCTTAGCGGCAGCGATAGACCGGAAAGGTACTTCGCAGGCAGTGTCTCGCAATGCGTATTTGTAGTGACGCGGCCCACCGCCCTCACACGTACCTGTCCGTAGCCAGGGGGTGTGTGTGTAGGTCCGCGTACGTGCTCGCATACTCGGTGCGTGTTGGTGCGCGGTAGCTTTGCCAGGAGTCAGTGACACCTCTCGCATCGTCGGTGGCGGCGACTGCGGTTTCTGGTAGCCATGGTAACCACCTCCCTCTGCCTCCACGTCCTCCTCCTCCTCCTCTTGCTCCTCCTGCTCCTCCTGTTCCTCCTCTGCCTCCTGAGGGGACTCTCTCTGCTACCTCCGTTCCCCATCAGCCTCCCCGTCCTCCACCTGCGTCGGTTTCTCTCTTCGATCCTCTCTCCTCCGTCTCCTCCTCCAATTATCATACCATCTCGCTCGGTCGCACCCTCCGTGGATGTCACTGCACCTCCTCCTCCTTTGGCTCCATTCTCTCCTCCTTCTCCATCGCCCTGACTCTCGTTTGAGTTCCTTCGTGGAGAAAGACCTCGAGCGAGAGAGGGACGCAGATGAGGGAATGAGAAGGAAGAAGAAGGAAGACCGAGAAGTGGCCACTGTTGCCAAGCCTGTCTCCTATTCTCTCTCACTCTATCTCCGATTCTCTCCCCCTTCCTTCTTTCTCTCTCTTTCTCTCCCTTCCTCTTCTCCTCTCTTCCTCTTCTTTCTCTCTCGTCAGTGTTTCACGTTGGATACGCGCAAGCCGCGCTGCCAATGCCGTTGACGTCGGTGAAGCCGGCGGTGTGTATGAATAGATGCAGCAGCGTGTTACTGCACCGCTGCAACGACCGCTCTCTCGGTGCATTCTCCCGCTGCTCTCTCTCTCTCTCCCTCATTCCCCCTCTCTCTCTCTCTCTCTCTCTCTCTCTCTCTCTCTCTCTATGTCTCTTTCTCTCACACTCGTCTTCCTCCTCACGCCTCCCTCGCCATCGTCGCGAGATGTTGCTCTCCTTCTTGTTCTCGATGTCTCTACTACCTCCCGCTTCTCTTCTAACGTGTCTGCTATAATGGCGTTAGACCGTCACGGCGCCCGGTTATAGCGCGATGTACGACAGGATGTATGACTAACAGTTCTCGCTATTCTGGGAGACGAGCTCCGTGCCGACGACGTTAAAGGAGAATGTCGAGTGTGTACGGCAGTGAGAGGCTCTCGCTGGTCTGTCATAAAAATTAAATTGTAAAATTAAATTAAATCCGCGAGATCGATAGAATATCGCCTCCTTAAAAGTTGTTCCTTAATAGGTTTTGATGTACTTTATAGCAATCTAATGGGAAATGTTTTGCTAGGTGCTTTTAACTCTCTATTGCGCAACATAAAGTAACAATTTCTTAATTTAAATAACGAAAATCGCGATTAGTTTTCGGGGACGATAAGCGTCTCCATTTTAGCCGACGTGCTAACAGATGCACGGGAAACGAATGCGTCAGCGTGCGCAACTGCGAAGATAAGCAGAGATGCTTCTGCGACTCGACCAATTGGGAACAACGGATGCTCCCTTCGGTCCAACCCCGCCAACGAGATACTTCTACACACGCACACCGACTATCCCGAGGAGTCGAGAGACACCGGGGATTCGCGCGAACGCAGTAGAAGCCTGAGATGAACGTGGGGAGCATCGCTACGATTGGGATGATCATGGACCAATGGGGAAGTTCCCTTGGTAGAGATAGCGATGAGTCGAGCTATAAACGTGTGAAGAGAATAGGGGGCACAAAGGAGGGAGATGAGAGTGGGAGAAGACAATGACTGATACCGCGCCAATCATGACTGCGGCCTGCCTGCACAGTAATGGCGTTTGCAATTAGCTTATGCGCTCATTAATTGTCGATAAATAGCGGTAATCGCAACAATTCTGTCGTAATGTAGAAAAACCGACGTTAAGTGATCATGATTGAAATAAAATTGTACAGCGATTTATGATGGTCAAATTTTGATGGATGACCAGTCTCAATATACTTCTCTTCCTCTCTCTCTGATAATTTAAACATTATAATATTTCCGTCATTTAATCGCACAAGGCACAAAAGATAGTAGGTCGCATTTATTTGTTATGGGGCTCTTCCATATTATTTCCACATGACAAACAAGTTGGCACGAACGGGTTCTTTCATCCACAAAGAAGAAATTCACATCCCGGTCTGTTCCTCTCTTGTTTAATATTACTCGCTCCGCGCTAAACCGTGATTTCGTCACGGTAGTAAGAGAAGTCTACTCGCGGTTTCCGAGCGAAACTCTTGAAAAACGTGAGCCTCGAGCAGCAGACATGTGAATTAAAGTTGACGCTGTTTCCGCTTTTGACCCTCCCGGTAGCGCATTTTACGCTATAAAAAAGAGAAATAGAAATTTAGACGCGACTTCGCGCCGTACTAATTGGACGCGTCTAATTGGATGCGATAAGGAAACTGAATGCGAAAACATTCTGGATTTTTAAATGAACAAACGTGCTGCCGCGAGTTTTGGTACGGAACAGCAACGTCTCGTTTTGTGCGTTTTCCAGAATGTTATCAGCCAGCCGGCATATGATGGTTCTCTTTCCGTCTATCTCTCGCTTTTCCTTTCTTCTTTCCATCTCCCTCTCCCTTTCTCCCTCTTCTCTCTTTCCATTCATTTTTATCTCTTACTCTCTCTTTCTCGTGAGTCTCTCTTCCTCGGCAGAGAGAGATAGATAGATAGATAGAGAGAGAGAGAGAGAGAGAGAGAGAGAGAGAGAGAG